CCATGATTTTACTGATTTCTTTATTGCACTGGCTTTTTTTTTTTTTTTTTTAAGGTAACACTTGTATAAAATTTTGAAAACTATAGAAGGGCATAGAGTGAAAAGTACTCCTTTCTCCTTCCCAGCCCTGTCCCAATAAGACTTCAGGCTTAGAGGGCAGAAGCCCATCTCCAGGAATCTTTGGAAACCCAATTACCCTTACCAGAGGCAACCACTGGTCCATGTTTCTCGGATCTTCTTTAAGAAATAGTCGATGGTTATATGATGCTATATAAGCACACTAGTGTTCTATATATTTTATTGTAAATACTTATCACAATTTATTGGACTTTTAGTTATTTATTTTTTTAAAGATTTTATTTATTTGACAGAGAAAGACACAGCAAGAGAGGGAACACAAGCAGGGGGAGTGGGAGAGGGAGAAGCAGGCTTCTGCCGAGCAGGGAGCCCGATGCGGGGCTCGATCCCAGGACCCTGGGATCATGACCTGAGCCGAAGGCAGACGCTCGACGACTGAGCCACCCAGGCGCCCCCACAATTTATTGGACTTTTAATCACAGTGTCACATCTCAGATCATTTCCTATGTGTATGGTGCTGCCGCCATCTTGTTAACATAGGATTCCACTGATGGGCGTATTGCTGTGTACTTAACCAGTCCCCCCCGAGGGACATTGCGTGTCTCCTCCTCCCTGTTCTGCTGTTACAAACAACTAATATCCTTGGACCTAAGTCTTTGTACACACAGGCAAGGAGCTCTGTAGGAGTCATTCCTAGCAGTGGATTGTCCCATCATGTGGCCATCTTGTCTGAAGGTCACCTGGCCCAGCCCTATAGTTTTAATCACTACCTTCCCCCATGACATCTGGATTCTGCTCTTCCAGATCTTGTCCACGGCGGGCCTGCGCCAGGGCACTGGAGGCCTGGCTAAACAGGCACGGTAGCTGGTGCCTACATGAAACTCCCTCAGAGGAGCTTGACTTATTGCAGGGTATACAAACTTTTTCTGTGGAGGGCTAGATATAAATATTTTAGGCGTTGTAAGTCATCTATCTCCATTGTAACTCTTCAGCTTTGTTGTTGTAGCACAAAAGTATCTTCAGACAATACGTAAGTGAATGAGTGTGACTCTGTTCCAATAAAACTTTATTTTAAAAAAGCAGGCAGGGGCGCCTGGGTGGCTCAGTCGTTAAGTGTCTGCCTTCGGCTCAGGTCATGATCCCAGGGTCCTGGGACTGAGCCCCACATTGGGCTTCCTGCTCGGCAGGAAGCCTGCTTCTCCCTCTCCCGCTCCCCCTGCTTATGTCCCCTCTCTCACTGTGTCTCTCTCTGTCAAATAAATAAGGTCTTTAAAAAAAAAAAGGGGCAGACAGTGGGCCAGATTTGACTCTCAGGCCAGATTTATTCAACTGCTGAGCACCTCTGTGTCCCGGGTCCCATAGTAGGTGTGGTGGATGCTGCAGAGAAGGATGCAGGCCTAACTCTGCCTGGTAATAGCAATACAGCTCATTGGTGTGATGGGAGAGCAGGTGCAGAGTAAACCCGAGAGTGCCTAAGAGGAGTGTCTAACTTGGACTAGGGGCCGGTCAGGGGTGGCTTTCTGGGAGAGGTGACATTGAAAGCTGAAATCCAAAGTCTCAGCCATGAGCAAGACACAGCAGGACTTTGGGGCTTTGAAAGAAGTTTTGTATTGCTGGACATATGATGTGCATGGAGGGGGCATGATGAGTGGCAAGGGCTGGAGAGGTAAACCTCAATCAGGGCACACAGACCTGGAGGCGGGCTGTGTGGAGGGCTGACCTTCATCCTGACAGCTCTAGGAGAGGGACTGCAGAGGTCGGCCTTATGGGCTGGGGGAAGGGGGTGCTACATACATATCTAGCGTCAGAAGCCAGGGGGATGGGGATGAAATGGGGTCATGACACGTGAAACAGGCCAAGGCAAGTAACTTAGGACTGAAACCCAGGACGGTACAGTGGAACTAAACATTTTCATGACTTTCTTGAATCCTGTATCCCTATATATGAGCTCCTACTCATCCCTCAAGCCTCTGCCCCAAAGTCCCTTCATCTTTGGAGCCTCTCGTAGGGCAGAGTTACAGGCTCCTTCCTCTAGATTATCATAACATCATACTGAGGGACACTTGTCACATCAGTGTCTCCCATCGAGGCCTCAGATGACAGGCACAGAGTAAGCACTAATAAATGCTTACTAAATTAAATTACACAGCAAGATGAATTCTCCAGGGTAGATGTGGTCCATGAGGCATACTTTACAGTTGAGGAAACTGAGACTCAGAAGGCTAAGCAATTTGCCCAAATGGAACATGTAAGAATTCTGCCCAGTCTAGTCATTTTAGCAGAAAAATTGGCTTTCTCTGCCTCTCCAGGCTGGAACTTTGTTGTTTGCCTCACGATTCCCCAAATTATTAATCTGTGAGGCAGTTAACTGAGCAGAAGTAAGAGGCACACTTTGTAGGGAGATAAAACAAAACAAGAGAATTAAGAGGCATTTGGTTTCCAGGGACTCCATCCTCTGGTACTCCAAATGCTAACAGGGAAATTCAACCCCCTTCTTCTAAATCCCAGCAGGAACAATGTCGCCAAGACCATCCTGGCAGGCGGCTAGGCCGTGGGCCTGGACAAGTGCCTGGAATTCTTGGAGAATCCAGGTCGTGAGGCTGTCGGTCGGAGCCTGTTTCTGGAGTGCTCCAGCAGCTGGGCTGGGGGAATTCTCTTGGCTCCATTTATTGCAACCTATTTTTAGAGGGCTGTTCAAGCTGGGGTGGGAGTTTTCCACCCCCTCCCCCAACTGGATGATTTCAAACCAATCCTCTCCTACCTCCCCCTCCCCCCAGCCAGGATGCAGAACGCGGTAGCAGTCTTTGAGCAGTGTGTTGTCAGAAGTCTTCTCCTTCTGGAAGCCTTGTGTGTATGTGCTTCTGTCCATCATCCTGATTCTAGCCATCCTGGTGGGTAAAAGGTGCTATCTCATCGTGGTTTTGATTTGCATAGTCCAGATGATTAGTGATGTTCAGCATCTTTTCATGCATTTATTGGCCATTCATATATCTTCTTTGGAGAAGTGTCTGTTCAGATCCTTTGCCCATTTTTTAATTGGGTTATTTGCCTTTTTATTGTTGAGTTGGAAGGGTTCTTTAATGTTTTTTTTAAAGATTTTATTTATTTGACAGAGAGAGACACAGTGAGAGAGGGAACACAAGCAGGGGGAGTGGGAGAGGGAGAAGCAGGCTTCCCGCTGAGCAGGGAGCCCGACGTGGGGCTCGATCCCAGGACCCTGGGATCATGACCTGAGCCGAAGGCAGACGCTTAATGACTGAGCCACCCAGGCACCCTGGAAGGGTTCTTTATATGGCACAGATACTAGACCCTTATCAGATATGTGATTTGCAAATATTTTCTCCCATTCTGAGTCTTTATTTTTAATGTAGCAAAGAAAACATCAGAAGCAGAGAGGAGAAATGTGGAGACAGGCAGTGAGGGGCACTGGATTCCTGCTCAGCCTGTTGCCTGGGAACCCTGGTACTCTAAACTGGATCTAGGGACGGCCTTTTCCTGTGCTGCAAGCTGGGCCAGCCCAGCCCTGTTCCTTCACTGTCCCCCACCCCACTCCAATTTCCCCATCTGGGAAAGCACTCATCATTAGGCTCTTGGCACCACCCCCTCCAAATGAAAGACTCAAAAGCGCACAAGAGGATGTCCCTGCATTAGTGGCTTCCTACTTCTTCCTGACTTCTGCAAACGTGCCAGCTGCCTGGCCCTCCAGGAGATGGACTTGCCGATGGGGCAGGTGGGGTTTTGATTGTGTCTATGTCCGCTTGATGTCTCCCAACCACATTTGGGCATTCCACAAGTGTGGGTGCTGGGCTCTATTCCTGCCTTCATGAAGCCCAAGGACAGATAATAAACAAGTTAATATGCAAATTGAGAACAGCAAGCCATGATTGCTTATAGTAAGGAGAAATGAGCAGCCTGGAAGAGAAGGTGAGGGAAAACCTCTTAGAGTTAACCCATTTAAGGTGAGCCTCAGTTTCCTCTTCTGGAAAATGGGGCCACTAATAGCTCCACCTATATCACAATGTTGTCTTGAGGACCAAATGTAGGTAGAGAGCTCTAATAGCTAATCAGGATTACTCTAAGCCAGCCATGGGGGTCTGAAAGTTGTCTCCGGTGGGGTTGGGTGGGCTTAGGGAAAAAGAAGCTGCTTTCATCAGATCCTCACCCAAAAGTCCCCAAATGGGTGTCTCCAGCCTCAGGATGGAACCCACTTTTTTCCCTGGGTCAGGAGCATCAGAGCCCCGGAGCCACACCATCCCGGGAGCAGAGGTCCCATTTTATAAACTTCGGCCAAAGTGAGGATTGGCAAAGATTGGCGCCATCAGCAGAGTTGGCCGGTTTGGGTTTTGTATTTGCCGTGCTTACACGTTGGAAAGGAAGATATGTGTATTTGAGGACTCTGTTTTGGAGGGAGTGCGCAGACCTCCCAGAAAAGGGCCAACTTGTAGGTACAAGGGATGCTGTTGCGGAGAACCTCTCCGCTGCGATCCTCCCCACTTGGCTCGGCTTGCCCCGCCCCTGCGCGCAGCCCCGCCCCATCGTGCCCCGCCCCCGCGGTTCCCCACGAGGCTCCGCGCCTCCCCGCCCAACGGGCGCAGTCCGGCCTCCGGCCCCGCCCCTGGCCCCGCCCCCTCCCGGGCCACATTCCTCCGGCCGGGCCTCGCTCTGCGCCAGGCGGGCGGGTGGCGGTGGCGGCGGCGGCGGAGGCGGAGGGGAGGGTTGGCCGGCCTGGGGCTGGGACTAGGGCCGGGAGCAGCGGGAACCGGCGGGCACTGGGCCGCGCGACCCGAAGTGGTCGCGTGGCGGGTGGTCAATTTCCCGGTGGTCGGGTGTCGGCCCCGGGATCTGCCGCCCCGGCGGGAGTCGGCCGCGCTCGGCGGGGCCTGGGTCCCGGGCGCTCGGCCCCGTCAACTCCCGCCGCGGCCGCCATGTGGTGCCTGCACTGCAACTCCGAGCGGACCCAGTCCCTGCTGGAGCTGGAGCTTGACAGCGGGTAAGGGCCCCGGGCGGGGCCGAGGCCGGGGGTTATGGGGGGAGTGGGCGCCGGGGTTCGGGCGAGAGGGCCTTGGGGAGGGGCTGCACGGAAATGGGCTGGCGGGGCAGGGTGGGGGAGCCAGCAGAACCCCAACCATTGCATAGTTGCGTGCAGTATGTTGTGGGTTTGTGAGAGAGCCGGGTGCTGTGTTGTGCAGTGATTTGTTAGAGCCTGCCGGGGCTGTAAGTATACGTGTGTGCCAGAGAGGCTGCGGGGATGGGTGTGCCGGAGTGCGTGAGGCGGTCAGGATGTGTGTGATGAGTGCCTGTGTGTGAGAGACGGAGGAGGGCTGACGGGGTGGAGTGTGGCTGTAATAGTAAATAGTGTGTGTGCAACCAGACCCGGGACCTGAGTTTGTGCGTGTGAGAAAAAGAGATGCTGTCAGGACAGGAGTGAATGTGTGTATGTGTGTGCATGCGTGCATGTGCATGCTCGCTCCCGAGTGACTGTCTGACTGTCGGGATGGGAGCTTGTGTGTGGGTGAGTTTCCCTGGGAGAAACTGATGGGAGTGGGTATCCGGTGCCAGGTAGGAGCCAGTGGACTGGAGTTTGTGAGTCGGAGTGTGGCTGGCGGGCGTCCGTGCTTGCGTCTGGTTGAGGCGGGCTGAGGCTGCCAGGGAGTCTTCCTGTGGGCCTAGTTATGCGAGTCCCTGGGCCTGTATCCAGGGTTACGAGTCAGCTCTCTCAGGGAGCCCCTGGGCAAGTGTGTGGGGGGACGAGGGATTCGTTCCCGGGCTGTGCGCAGGTGGTCCAGGTATGCTTGGGGGGGAGGGGGGCGGAGGGGGGGGACCCAGGAGTGCGCCGGGGAGCCTGGAGTCCTGGGGAGGTTGAGATCTGTGTGGCTCCTGCTGTTGTGTTGAGTGCGGCTGTGAGGGGTCTGCTGGTGTGATTGGGTGTGTGCATGTTTTTCATGTGCCTGGTGTGGTCAGGGATGGAGTCTTGATGGGGGCGAATGGACGTGTGTCCCAGAGACCAACCCTTTTCTGCTTTGGGGCCTGTGGGTGGCTGCCTGAGTCCAGGGGCCCGTATTTATGGAGAGAGAGTGTGTATGTGCTGGGAATATCGATTTCCTTGCTTCGCTCGCCAGCACAGCTGCCCCCTGAGCTGTCTGCAGGCCCCTTGGAGGAGCCAGGCTGTGGGGTGGAGAGGATTTGTTGACAAGCTGACTTGGCTTGTGTCGGGCCCCCTGAGGGTGGGGGGGAAGCCCACCTGCAGCCGTTTGATCTCTGAGTTCAAAAATTCTGCGGCGTGTGTCTGGCAGTTGCACCGAAAACATGCATATGGTCCCCTCTGCCCCCTCCTCACCCCAGGGGCCTGGGACTCTGGGCCTGAGGCTCCATGTGGGGTTGCGGGGTTGCGGTTCCCAAGAACCCATCGCTTCGTGTGTCTGGGGCGGAGGCTGGGCAAGCTGCAGCTGCAGGGCCAGCTGTCTGGAATCGGTGGCCTGAGTCCGAGAATGGGAGGTCACGATATTCATATCGCACACGTGCTACTGTCCTACGCAGCTGCCCCACCCAGTATCGCATTTGCATTCTTGGCCTTGTGGTTCCGGCACCCGCACATCGCAGGAGAGCAAACTGAGGCTGAGTGTTAAAGTCTTGTCGGCACCAAGGCTCTGCGGTTTATGGAGTACCTGCTGTTAGCGTTCCCTGTCTAGGCACTGGGGACACAGCAGTGATCAAAACTCAGAGTGTTTGTCCTCCCGGGGCCAGCACACTCGTGGGGGCGCAGTCGGCATGCTCCACAGGCGACGACTCTTCTGCTCCCAGCTGAGAGAGACTGAGGGGTGGCCCTGGTGCCCCTGCATTAGGACCTCTCCAATATCACCCTTCCAGTTGGGATGTCCATAGTCACCACTTTGGCTTATTTCTCAGTCCTGCATCCCTTCTTATTGGAAGTCCTTCTTTGTATCTACTCTAAATCTTCTAGCTGCAGGGAAGCCTGCTTGAGTCCTTTTGTTGTCAGGGTTGGTGATGAACAGCTGCTCCCCCAGTCTCAGAGCACAGGCCAGGTGTCCTGGAGATCGAGAAGCCCCTCTCCGGCACAACCCGAAGTTTACCCTTCCGCCTCAGAGCAGGTGGATCACATTTGCTCCGGAGTGCCTGGTATGCCGTTCTGAAGGAGGAGGGGCAGAATCAGCCCCGCTCCTGGCCTGCGGAGGCTTAGCCAGCTACTCCTTGGGCTGGCCAGCTTGCCCCCCCACGCAGAGTCCTCCCAGCTGGCCATCTCTCCCTCTCCAAACCCAGGAAGGATCCAGCATGCTCCAGAGACCTCAGGAGACCCCCACTGTATAACAGGTCCAAGATAACCCCGTCCAGGTATGGCCACGCCACCTGTAAGCACAGGCTTCTCCCTGACGGCAAGCGTGACACCTTTGCGTGGCAGCACCTTGATGCTCTGCTGTTTGAGACTCGCGGCAGCCCGGGTCTCTCCCTACCCTCCCTTTCTAAACGGGCATGTTAAGATAGGGAATCCAGTGACCTGACTGGGCTGTTACAAGGGGAGCCTGAAGTAGAACCCAGATGTTCTGCTGGAGGGCCCCTGCCAGCCCTGCCAGGATTTTCAGGCTTTCGCTCAAGGAAGTTGGACTATGAACTAGCTGTGCTAATATTTACACAGCTTCAGTTCAAAAACATGGACAGGACTGACAGCTGCACAGTCAAACCGTGTGATGACTGGGCAAATAGGTGTTTCTGGAAGGGATCTAACAGGGCCCCGCGGGCTCCGAGAGCTCAGGATATGTGTGTGTGCGCGCGCGCGTGTGTGCGGTTGTTACCTGGCCGGACTGTGTGGAACGAGGGATCTTGGTTGGCCAGGAGAATCTGTGAGGCCAAAGCAGCTCAGGGTGTCAGCAAAGAAGGACTCAGGGAGGCAAACACTTTGTTTCAAGTCCCAGCTCAGCTTTGTGATGTTATGCCAGTCACATTCCTCAGACCACATTCCTCTGAGCCTCAGTTTCCCCCTCTGTGGAAGGGAATGGTACCCTGCTTCACAGAGATGCTTGAGGACGTGTCTGACAGCCCTCGCACTGCTGGCCAGCCCCAGGCCTCCAGTCCGAGCTGCGACTGTCCAAGTCAGCACTCTGCTCTTCCCGCTGCCAGCGACCCATGGGATTTTCTTCCTTCCCCTTTTGTAAATTTCCTCTGAATTGTGACGACACGTGGACTATCTGCCCAGTGGGCTTGCAGCAGGCCGGAGGCCTGGGGAGAGCTCCGCAGAGGTGGCCCAGGTCCCCTGTGGAAGTGTGTGTGTTTGTGCTATGGGGGAGGATGCTCAAAGGCTGTTGAATGTGATTTATCATTTGTCCTCAAAAGCAAATCATAATGACTTTAAAGGCCATTAAGGCTCTTGAAGAATTAATTGGTGCAGCCTTGGAGAATCTGGCCGCTCCCACTGCCTGAGCTGCTGTGGAGGAGCGGTGGATGGTGATTATGGTGGGAAACATGGCACGGTGCCACCTGGACCTGCCACTCTGCTAGCCGCTGTGGCCGTCCCCCTAGTTGGGCAAGTTCCCCTTTAAGCCCTGGGGCCTGTGTGCGCTGATGCCTGCCCAGCACGGTGCCCGGCCACGTCGTAGGCACAGCCAGGCGTCAGCGAGTGACTGCACCCACAGATGCATGCATGCTCTCCTGGGCTTGGGGGTGCTTTGTTCTCAGGAGAGATGTGTACGACCCAGAGGGCACCTGTTGTTGCACTTCCTATGTTCCTTTATTCCCTCACCAGCTACTGAGCACCTACTTTGTGCCAGGCCCCGGGCTAGATGTAGAGGCACCGAGGTTAATAACATGAAACCGTGTGTCACAGAACCCAGACAGGCCTTGGGGGTCACACAAAGCCTACTCTGCCTCTTCCCAGCTGTGTGGCTTCGGTGATGTGATCTCCCCTGTCCGAGCCTTGATTTTCTCATCCATGAAATGGGGCTAAGAAGTATCTCCCCGGAGGGGATATGCAGCTTTGCCTGGTGACTCCTACCTATTCAATGCCCAGCAAACGGTAGCCGATAGCCAGCAACACCAGCATCATCACCACCTCTTCTCTTGAGAAGTGACTACTGAGTTAAAAAAGTAGTTCCTCACGGTCCTTTTTTGCTGGTTTCTGGAGCTGCATGGCTTTTTGTATAATCTCTTGTCCTTGAGGGGCTAAGGCACGATCCTAGCTGCTCTGACTTGAATATCCTTTTATGCTTTATTTGCATGTAGCTGTGGCTTCCCTGCTCCTTGATGGAAAGGGTCATTCTTTCCATTTTATTTCCTTGCTTTGCACCTTCCTAACATGGTGACCATTTAATCGGAACTGAAGGCGCAGATGCAGAGCCATAGCAAGAGTCCCCTCCTTGCTTGTCTGGATGGGGAAACTATGAGCACATTTGTTTTTTCCTCTCTGTTCAAAGGTCAGTATAATAATAGTAATCGCAGTGGCTGCCATTCAGCTCTGCACAAAGTACTTAATTCGTAGAGCAATCTGTGAGTAAGGGCTTCTGTCCCCCAAGTGGAAACAGTTGGGGGACGGTTATGTGACTTGCCCAGGGTCACTGGCCATAAGTCTCGGAGCTGGGATTTGAACTCAGTCTTCCTGGCTTTGGGGTCTCCGTTCTTTGTAGCCAGGCTGTGCCTCCTCTGGAATTTAAATAATCTTTAGCAAAATCTGTCACCATCATAAATGGAGCCTTTTGTATCTTTCCCAAGCCATGGAACAGGTAGGTGTCTGGTATCCCCTGGCGTCAGCATTTCCAAAATGTTTCCAAATGCCCGAGCCTCGGGCTTTGGTTTGAGGACCACCCTCTGGGCTCTCCTGGTGTCTTGCCAGACCGCACAGGCCCCAAGAGCTGCTTGCCCATACACTCCAGCTGGATTCTGAGATAGTGCCCTTGGGCCCTGAGCACTTGTGCATTCTGAGAGTGGCACACTTGCCCCAGGCCAGCCTCAGCAAGGATAAGGGTCTCACAAAAGCCAACGGTC